AGCTCAGCGTTGCTCCAGTGGTCGACATAGACGCCCATCATGTCCCCACACTGTCCCCTCCCCCCCTGGCTGCTCACCTGCCTTCTCGCTGGCAAACTCCCGCAGATTGAGCTGCTGCAGGGGGAAGTCCACAAAGACGGAGCATTTCTTGATGGAGTAGCGGGTGGTGGAAAACCGGTTCAGGTCTGGGCAGCGTCAGGGGAAACACAGCACCAAGATGCTGCCCCCCACTCCCCAGGACACCCCCCATTCTCCAGGACAGTCCCCAGCCTCCACCACATGCACCAGGGGCCTCAGTGCCCCACCCTCTGGTCCCCAAAGGATACGGAGCACCAGGATGCGGGGGAAGCGCTGGATCGTCAGCTTCTTCGTGCTCCGCGTCCGCTGCCGGCACTTGTCACAGACCTGCTGGTGACATGGCATTGGTGAGGGGGCTGGGGAGGCCCAAACTGGAGGTACCACCCCACCAGCCCCAGCCTCCTACCGGGGCATTCTCTGAATCCAGCTCCTCCTCCTTGGTGAAGAGGCTGAAGCAGTCATAGAGCGAGACCTTGCCTCCAGCAAAGCTCTTCTGCAGGGGGAGAGGGTCAGGCAGGGGGCTTGGGGCATCCTGGGAGGGCAGGGGGCAGGTGGGGCCTCTGGCTCATCCCTACCTTTGGGATGGGCAGGGAGAGATCACAGAAGACCTCGAAGGTGGTGGAGCGGTATCCGCATGCCTGGCACTTGAGGCAGCTCTTCAGCTGCCCCACAAAGAGATCTGGAGGGGAGGCAGGGGATGAGGCTGAGCACCCCAAGCGACTTGACGGGCGTCACCCGTGCCCATCAGTACTCACCCACGATCTTGCTGTCCTCCCTCTCCAGGTATCGCTTCCACATCTGGTTGGCGCGTTCATCATCGCTGTGGGAAAGGATGGAGGGTTGGGCGAGGTCCTCTCAGCCAGGGACCCCCCCGGGACCCCCTGCTCCTCACCTCAGCGTCTCAGGGTCCTCCAGCACAGGGGTCCGACGTGCATCCGAGAGGATGCTGGGGGTCCTGCGGCCCTTGCGGTTGATCTCCACGTGCAGCCGGTCCATGAAGAACTTGAGGAACTCCTGGGCATCCTGTTGGCTGCAGGGGGAGGGACCCATCACTCACCAGTGCCCTCCAGGATGAGGGGGCTGCAGGAGGTCCCCTGGGGTGGGGGAGGCTGAGCCTCACCTGTACCCGGTGAAGGAGGGGACATATTTCTGGAAGATGGCCTTGAAGCGCCCAGGGTTGACAGCCTCGGAGGAGTCGGGGTGCCAGAGGGCAGCGATGACATCGGCAAAGGCTGTGGGGACAGGTGGGTGTCAGCACTGGCAAGTTTGTGGGGGGGTGAGCTGTGGGGGGAGCCTGACCCACCTTCAGTGAGCTCCTGGGGGGCACGGGGGCCAGGGGGCTGCTCCTGCTGGAAGTCCCGGCGCAGGCAGTAGTCCCGCAGTGGCTTGGTGCTACTCAGGCACTGCAGCACGGCGTTCATGAAGCACTGCGGGGACATCATGACATGGCCCTGTACCCCACCGCCCTCTGAATGTGGCCATGGGGACCCTCAAGGGCCTGGGGGATCCCTGGAGACACAACATCTCCCACAGCTGCCCAGTTACGCCTGCTGCAAGCCCAGGGGACCTCAAGTCCCTTACACACCCCTGGAGACTGGATGGCTCAGGGGACACAGAGACATGAGGACAGGAGGACACAGGGACAGGGGGATGGGAGGGGACATGGGGACAGAAGGGTGGGAAGGCTTGAGGGATATGGGGACAGGGGAATGGTAAGAACACAGGAACACGGGGACATGGGGATGTGGGGACAAGTGGACAAGAGGGCTTAGGGGACAGGGGAATGCAGATGCTTACCGTGTTGCCCAGGTTCCTGAGGCCAACATGGCCCGAGCCCAGCAGTAGGGTGTGATGGGTCTGCAGGGACACAGAGGGACCAGAGTGAGTCCCCACGCTGCGAACCCCTCTGGCCACTCCCCAGCTTCCCCCAGACAGACGGGCAGAGCCCCCGCAGCATCACCTGCCCACTGACGAGCAGCAGCCCCATCACGGCCGTGTGAACCACCGACTCGGCGATGTCGGTCCGGGGGAGCAGTCTGCGGTGCAGCTTGCGGGGCAGCTCCACCAGCGTGGCTCCCTGCAGCCCTGGCATGGCCCCGAGCTGTGCCGGCACCGCCTGGACCGCGGGGCAGGGCTGCGGCACCGGCCTCAACGGGGCCCCTCCACCTCGCTAAGCCAATGCTCATTAGCTGATCCGATTTCCCCTGGCTATTCTGGGCCCTGCTGGAGGCTCATCTCGGGGGGATTAATTAGTGGCAGAGCCACCCAAGGGACAGGCCATGAAACGGGGAGCAGTGGCAAACACACCTGCTTGCCCCACACCAGCAAGGAACCAAGACCGGTGCTGGGAGCAGGGGGGCTTGGCAGGGCAGGGGACAGCCCCCTGCACCCACTGGTGGGGGACACACTGCAGGAGGTCCAGCCACATTCCTGTTCCCCAGGGCTGTGGGACAGCACCGGATTTGACCTAATCCCCACACGTGGCCCAGGGCGAGGGGAGGACAGGACCTGGCGGATGCGGAAACTGCCCCCCTCCCCGGACCTGAGAGGGCTCGACCTTTTGGCAGTGGGAGTCCCCCAGGAGAAGCTGAGCCAGGAGAGGTGAGACTGGCACCCCCGTCCCAACTGCTGCCCCATACCCGGGGAGCAGCAACAAATCTAGAGGTTCTTACAGCTCCTGCCTTCTCCTCGGTCCGGCCGGGGGCTGGGGCTCGGCCCAGGGAGGGGCTGTCGGGGCTGTGGGCGTACAGGGGGTCGGGGGCAGCGCGAGTCCGGGGGCAGCCCTCAGGCCGGACG